TGTATATATAAAATTTCCCTGCTTGCCTCCCATTTTTCACACTGTTCCCTTGACAAGCGCCCCTATTATTTTCCATATTTAATCTGTAAGAGATTTTAGGATCCTGCCAAGACCACCACACTGGGCCAGATGTTAAGAGGGAGTGAAAAGAACAAGAAGAAAAGCTTTACTTCAGTGTGCAGGGGTAAGGGGGTGTACTCTAGAAGAGAAGGACCAACCTTGCTTTTAACTTTTCTCCTGGGACAGGAGGCGGCCCTGGACAGTTTCTTTCAACCCAGGGAGTTAGCAGATGATAGCACGTGCTTCTGTGAGAATTGTGGGAAGAACACTCGAGGGAAACAGGTACTCATCCCCTTTAACCAAGATGCTTCCTTAGTCTGGGATTGTCCCTGGTGATGAATCTCTTGGTCCCTGGAGTTCCAACATGTGGGTTTGATGGCATCTTCACAGGGTGCTGAAGGCACCTCATCGTAATAGGGTCAGGTTTGAATCTGGGATTCTGGGGCTTCTGAGCTCCAGAATTGTGAGCATAGCTTCTCAGATCATGTCACAAATATGGACATGATCTGGTGCCTCTCAGGGACAAGGAGAGAAGGTCCAAGAGCAGTGTTAGAAAACCAGTTGCCATTGAGTCAACTCTTGTCTCGCAGTGACCCATGTGTCAGAACAGAACAGGGTTCCACAGGATTTTCCGTGGCTGGTTTTGAAGAAGTAAACCCCTAGGACATTCTTCGGAACTGCCTGGGTGTGGAGCCTGTTTGTGCCACCCAGCGACTTCCTGAGAGCAGTGGTAGTGTTTTGTTTTCTCTTCCTTTTCGGGTTAGATGATCTCCCTCAGTTCCCCGCCCCTGTGTAAATCCCTGGCGCTGCTGCTGACCTCTGTGGGAGACTGAAGTGGTGAAATAGTCTTTTATCATACTGCTTTTAGAAGAACCTCACAGAGTCAACACATGATGTCCTTGCTCTGCATTTTATCAACCTTTCAGGAAAACTCATTTCCATTTTGGAATACTAATACTAATACTAATACTAATACTAATACTAATACTAATACTAATACAGAGTTTCTCTGAAATACCAGTGCCTTCAGATTTCACCCCCACACTGATTTTCCTTTTCAGGTCTGGAAGCTGACTCATTTGCCCCCTACCCTGACCATTCACCTCAAACGGTTCTCCATCAAGAATTCAAGGATACAAAAGATCTGCCACTCGTTGTGCTTCCCCGAGAGCCTGGATTTCGATCAGATTCTTCCAACTGAGCAAGATCTTGGCAAGGCTAATGACCAGGTGAGAGGTGCCAACCTCCCCTGACCCCACCACAGCCCCTCCCCCCATCTCATCAGACATGAGGTCGCTTCCATTTTCCCACATCTGATATGCAGCTTTGGATGTCTCCTTGTCCTTCCTGCCACTCAGGAATAACGGCTCCAGCTGGCTGTGCACAGAGAGGAAAAGTCACCACTGTCAGCGCAAATCATAGAATATTCTTCAAGTCAGCAAATGTAAATTTTAAGAAATACTGTAATGGGAAAATGTGTGTTCTAAATAGCAGCAATGATTTGTTATCACTAAACTATTACTGCTAGCATTTGTTGTGTGTAGTTGCTTTTATTTTCTTTTAAGATTAAAAAGATTTTCTTATTATGTGCATTGGGTTTGCACTCATAAGCCTCGCAGCACTGAGGGAAGGTGAGTCGTCGGAGGTACCATGTGCAAGGCTGAAAAACACATTGATAGACATGACATTTTGGATTCTATGTAGAATACCAGCCACACTTTCTTACCACTCTAAAGATGATCTGAAAGTCTTCACTACATTTGAGTCATATTCTATCAGAGTAAAGTTGAATTCAGTCATCCTGAGCTTGTGACTTACTAGGAGTTACTGAGAGGGAAAAAAAAATTACTAACCTGTCTTCTCCCTGTAGGTTTAAAATGAAAATGTTACCTTTAGGATAGTGTGAAACATGATGTAAACAAACTTTGTAAGCAAACCAATGTTGTTATGTTGTTGTTAAGTGCTGTCAAGTTGAGCATAACTCATAGCAACCCAATGAACAAAAGACCTTAACCCAGTGCTTTAACTATTGTTGTTTCTCTAAGTTCATAGAGTTTGCAGAGGCATCTTGTTTAGGAAGTGGATGCCGTTCCTGCTTCCAAGCTTGTCATAACCTGGGAGCTCTAGCAAACACTGTCAACCATGTGTAACCATTATGGCATTTGATATACCAATGACACAGTGTTCAGCATCACAAAAACCCCAGGTTACCTTGGTAAAGCAAATTGACAGAGCAGTGATGTACTACTTAGAAGAATGTTCATTTCAAACACAATTAACAGCCCTTGGGCCCAACTAAATTTTTTTTTTAAAAAATCCCAGGCCTGTGCACCAAAGCAAACCAATATAAAATTAAAAATTAAAAACAAAACAAATAAAAATTATTACTTCTGCATTCCTGTATGAGCATGTAGCTCTGCTAAGGACCAGGTGAGATGCTCCAACCTCCCTCCAGTTTCATCTCATTAGACACAACATACTTTCACTTTTCCTTCATCTTTATCGTTACTGAAAATCCTCACAGGTTTCACATAGTCTCAAAGGAAATGTGTTGTCTTCATTCCCAAACTATTCCTCCTGCCAGCTATATTCCAGCTTAACTTTGTCATGTTGTTGTTGTTGTTGTGTACCATTGACTCAGAAATCACCCATAGTTGACAATCCAGTTTTCAAAGGCAGTAAATTGCACAGGAACAGAGTTCACCTGTCTTTATCCTGCAGAGCAACTGGTGAATTTTAATTACATACCTTTGGGATTGCAGCTCCTTACCACTAAGCCACCAGAGCTCCCTACCAGCTTCTTCATTTCAAAGCCAGGAATCTGTGGTGTCACCTCTAACTTTTCCTATTTCCATTCCCACATCCAATCAGTTAGAAAATATCTTTAGTTTCCTAGGGACTCTGGTGATGCAGTCCATAGTATGATACACTACGAACCAAAAGGTTGTGCGTCTCTGGTGATTTGAAACGACCAGTGGGAATGATGAGCAGTCTCTTTCCATTAAGATTTACAGCCTTGGAAACCTGTTGGATGGGTTCTATGAGCTGCAATTGACTTGACAGCAGTGAATTGAGTTGATTTCTTTCTAGTGAATTTTCTCCCAAATCTGTTGCTTCCTTTCCACTTCCCTTCTAACTTTCTCAGTATAGTTTTAGGTGTTAAGAGCTTGGCCTCTGAAGCCAGACAGGCCTGGGTTTAAAAATCTTACTTTTTCAGAGAGGGGAGGATGGGCAGGGAGGTGTGATTAATCATAGGGTCACAGAATTTGATGACTGGAGGAGGGAGTGAAGGATGGGAAAGATCTGGTGTGAAAAACAATGTATACACATTTCGTAAATAAACCAGTATAAAATAAAAATTTTAAAAAATGTTGAGACCTTGGGCCACCAAGGCTCTTTTAAGACGTTTATGAAATCAGTACTATTTTCATAATAAAATTAAGTCAAATCGGGTCCCCCCCAAAACTTCATTTTTCATATATCAGATCTGACCTTGGGCAAATTGAGCTGAGATTCCATCTCCATAAAACCAGATTTATAATAGTCTCTATCTCATAGGGTTATTGCAATTATTATATCATCAGATAATTTGCATAAAGAATTTTAGTAAATACTGTTGTTGTTGATTGTGTTCAAGTTGAGCATGACTCATAGTGACCCAATGAACAAAATAAAAAAAGGTCTGAAACTTTTCTATAACTATTGTCATTTATCAACGTTCCTAGAGTTTCCAGAGGCATGTTTAGGAAGTAGATGCCACTCCTGCTTCCAAAGTAAATACTAACAGATAATAATTATCACTGTAATTGCTCTCTGTAATGCTTCAGGCTATCACCATTTCTTCTTTATACTATTATTGTTGTTGTGGTGTACTATAGAGTCAGAACTGACCTCTAGCTGACACTTACGCGAGTTTTCATAGATGGTTAATTGCACAGAGAGGAGTTTGCTCATTCTTCTCCCATGGAGCAGCTAGTGGCCTCGAACTACATGCCTTCAGGATTGCAGCTCAGCTTCTTGTCACTAGGCCACCAGAGCTCCCTTACTGCAGTTTCTTGATTTCTATCTCATTTCAACTCCATACCCACTTCTCAGACCCCTTTATTTGAATGTGTCTCTAAAACAAATCTGATGCTGCTGTTCCTTTGCTGAAACCCTCTCCAGCACTCAGGGGATAAAGTTGTAATTTCTAACTAACTTCTACAGCCTTGTGACTTTTCAGAACCTTCTCCACCTCCCTTTCTTTCAGTATGCTCTTACATTGTTGAGCCTTTGCAGATTCGGGGTCCACAGTCAAGAATACCTTCTACTTACAGCCTGCCTGCAAATCTTGTCTGTCCTTCAATTGTAGCATATCTTCTTTGGGGAGCATTCTTCAATTTCTCAGCCCTTTTTCGGTTGGTTGCCCTTTTTTTTTTTTTTTTTACTTTTTTAGAGAGAAGTAGGGAGGCATGGAATTTTTAAATGAATCTATAAATACATTTACTATAAAACGTGGTATTGATATGTTGGAATACACTGATTGTTACCTAGCCTATTATTCCTAGAATATACCTTTAGCCATGGGACAACATGCATTTTATATCTTATAGATTTTGATGTGCTAATTTCTGTTGAGGAGTTTTGTATTTGTATTCATAAAAGATTTGTAATTTTTCTTTTTCATAAGTGTTTCCAGGACAACAAAGCAGTAGAGTAAAGGACACATCTTAGTAGATTCAGAAAAAGCAAATAAACAAATTTTTTAAAGTGTGGTATTATGCTTCTGCTTTGTAGTTTGGCCCTTTAATTAGCTGTGAGGTTACTGAGGTCGAGTGCTCTCAGGGCAGCAGCACCTGGCATACAGACACTCAGTAAATGTGTGATGACATGTCAACTGATGTTGTTAGGTGCCACCAAGTTGCCTAGACTCATGCTGCCGCCTCCTTTGAGCCTAGGGATTGAAAAGGAGAAGTCCCAGGTGAGTCATTTTGTGTGTTGTCTACTTCCAGGCAGAAGTGCACTACGAGCTCTTCGCTGTGGTTGCCCACGTGGGAAGGGCTGACTTTGGTCACTACTGTGCTTATATCCGGAATTCGGTGGATGGCAAATGGTTCTGCTTCAACGACTCCAGTGTCTGTCTGGTAAGAAAATAATTCCAAGTTTGCTTCTTGCTCTGGATTATTGTTATGTGCTCTCGAGTTGGAACTAACTTATAACTGACCCTCCAGCGGGTTTTCAGAGCTGTAAATGACACAGGAGGAGACTGACCATCTTGTTCTTGAGGAGCAGCTGCTGGATTTGAACTGTGTGCCATTAGGTTGACAGTCTAAGTACTTACCCACTAGACCACTAGCGCTCCGGTTAGCCTCTGCTAGTAAATTCTAGGAGTCCCGATAACCCAAAAGTTGGAGGTTCAAGTCCCCTCAGAGGCATGATCACCCAGAGGTGCAATCACTCAGAAACCAGAGCTAACTCAATAACAACTTCTTTATGGTTTCATAAATTCAAGACTGGATGGGTCCTTGTATTTGACACATTCTGGTCCTGTTTTCTGTATGGAACCTCCTGTGGGGGCTTAGTCCCTTTCTACTTGAAAGGGTCATGGTCCTGTCAGAGCCTAGATAGGATTCTGGTGCCTACACTCGGTGACCTCCATGCTCTGGGGAAACTTCTAGAAAGAAGGAGAGAAGTTAAAAGTATGGAATTTAGAAATCCAGGTTAAACACAATTGAGTTTAAATAGAGGAATGGGGGTAACAAAAATCATTTCACATACATGGCAAGTATATGTTTTGGGAGTCCTGAGGGTAAGTTTGTCAGGAGGAGGGAGAGAAGGCAAATTGTTGGCTGGCCTGTGACTTACCTATTTATGTCCTTTCAGGTGTCTTGGGAGGACATCCGTTGTACGTATGGGAATCCTCACTACCGCTGGTAAGAGAAGCATGTAGATGGTGGAAAACTGCTGAGCGACAGAGGAGATGGGAAACTCTCAAGTTTAATGGTCACTTACACACTGATGATGTCCCATTCCACTGTGCTTTTTAACAATTTAGATTCCAACACAGCTCCCAAACATTACATCCTCCATCCTTCTATGAATTTGAACATATAATTCTTCATCTAAATTGCCTGAAAAAGCCATAAAAAGGGGTATTGAAGCATGATTAGGAGTTTGTTTGGATGGAAGTTATAAAACTTTAAAAAACAAACAAACACAACAACCCGCCTTACTTTCAGTGACTCACCCAGGTAGACTCACTGTATAAATACAGTAGTTTTTGAACATATCTCCTTTTTAGCAGGAGGATCACATGGTGTTTGCTTACAAAAATTCATTTACATTGGACTGTGAACTCTATGGGGGACAAACCGAACCATGCTGTCATTAGTGAGGAGGATTTGAAACTCTTGCTGCAGGAGATCAAGGACTACAGCTTTCAATATGGATTACATCTCAACATCAAGAAAACAAAGGTACTCACCCCTGGACCAAAAGATAACATCATGGTATATGAAGAAAGAATTGAAATTGACAATGACTTAATCTTACTTGGATCAACAGTCAATACCCTTAGTACCAGTAGTCAGGAGATCAGGAGACATACTGCACTGGCAAGTATGCTGTCAAGGATCTCTGGAAGATACTGAAGAGTAATGATGTCAGTTTGAAGACTAAGGTGTGCCTGACTCATGTAATGGTCTTGTTAATCAATTACCATGCATCTGAAAGCAGCATAGTGAATAAGGATGACAGAAGAAGACTTGATAGCTTTAAGCTGTGGTGTTGGAAGAGTACTGAAAATCCTGTGGACTGCCAAAAGAACAAACAGTGTGGCTTGAGTGCTCCTTAGAGGCAAAGATGGCAAAGAGTCATCTCCTATATTTTGGGCATCTTGCAAAGAGAGGCTATTCTTTGGAAAGGATGTCATACTTAGAAAGTTGAAGGGTGAGTGAGAGAGAGAGGAAGACCCCCAGTGAAACTGATTGACAGAGTGACTCCAACAATGAGCTCAAATGTATCAGAGATGGTGAGAATGGCACAAGATAGGAGAGGGAGTTCTGTTCATAGAGCCGCTGTCGCTAATGGTCGTACTCAACTTGATGGAGCCTAACAACAATAGGGAACTCTGGTGGCCTAATGGTAATAAATTGTGCTGCAATCCCAAAGGCATGTGGTTTAAATCCATTAACTTCTCCTTAGAAGAAGGATGAGCAGTCTCCTCTCTTGTGATTAACTACCTCTGAAAACCTGCTAGAGTGTCAGCTACAACTTGGTCCCAGCTCTGTGGCTGACAACAACATCAGTAAATGTCTGGTGGTCTAGAGGATAAAGAGTTGTGCTGCCAATACAAAGGGAAGTAGTTCAAATCTACCAGCTGTTCCATAGGAGAGGAATGGGCAGTCTTCTCCTGTGTGATTTACTACTTCTGAAAACCTCATGGAGAGTCAGCTATGAGTCAGTTCTGACTTAAGAGCATTGAGTTGAGAATTACTATAAGGTTTCTAAGGCTGTAAATATACATAGAACCAGACTGTATCTTTTTTCAGTAGTTGGATGGTGGATTTGGGCTGATATCCTTTTAGTTAATAGCCAAACAATTTAATCATTCTACCATCAGAGCTCCTTTTTGGAGGCAAAGACTTCTCTTCATGTTTCTGTCTCCTCTCTCTGGTACAGTGTCTTACATCTATTAAGTACTTCAAAAATATTTTAAAATAATAACTATAGAGGGGAATGAATGAGGATAGGCATGTCAGAGACAGTGAGATTGGCTCAGGATAAAGCAGGGTTCAGACTTACTGTGCATAGGTTGCCGTGGGTTGTAGTCAGCTCGACAGCACACATAACAACAACAATGGAGGGGAAGGGAACAACCATGGTTTCCCAGTAGTCTTTGAACCTTCTGCAAAGAGAGGTGGAGACCCGGACTTCATACACAGCCACTGCATATCTGTCATGGAGGCTTGTATGCTGTGATGATGATAAATAGGCTTGCAGGAACTTCCAGATAAAGGCTCACTAGGAATAAATTCCTGATCATCAATGTCCAGAAATCAGCCCATGAAAACGGAATGGATCACAGCCATCTAATCCAAACATCAATTATGGGAAAGAAATATGCAGGACCTGGAAATGTTCTGTTCCTTGGGGCATGTAGTTGCCATGAGCCTGGGTAAACCTCCTAGCAACCAATCACAGCAACAGAGAAATCTGGCAAGGAAGAAAAGCTGGATGGCATTAAAGCAAAGACACTTTCTAAGTTCCAGTTACATTTCTGGGGCGGTGATGATCCTACACTAAAGGGTATATTTGACATGATTTTTAGTTGTAGAAGTAGACCTGTTAACTCACAAAATAATGAATTATGCTAAGTTTGTGTTTGGAATCCTTTTTCAGGTTGTTACTTTTTATCCTTTTCCCTTAGATGTCCAGTTTGTAACTTTCTGGTTATTACTTATTCTCACATGATTTAGATCAGGGAGTAACCGACTTGCTCTGTGAAGGGCCAATGAGTAAATAGTTTAGGTTTTGTGGGCCACGCTGTCTCCTTTGCAAACTACTTGATTCTTCCCTTTAGCATGATAGCAGTCATAGGCAATATGTAAGCTACTGAATATGACGGTATTCCAAAAAGATTTTGTTGACAAAAACAGGTGACAGGCCAGATTTGGCTCGTGGACTCATGGTTTGTAACCCCCTAATTTAGGTGTTACTAACAAAAGCGTTGGTGGTTTAGTGGCAAGAAACTGCTCTACCATCCCAAAGGTGTGCAGTTCAAACCCACGAGCTGCTCTGTGGAAGAAAGATGGACAATCTTCTCCTGTGTGAAAACCCATTGGAGGGACAGCTATGGGTTAGTTCTGATTTGATGGCACACAACAATAATAACAGCAGCTTAGGGAGTTCTAGTGACTTAGTGGTAAGGTGTTGCTCTGCCTACACAAAGACAAGCAGTTTGACTCCCCCAGCTGCTCTGCAGGAGAAAGATGGGCAGTCTCCTTCCTAGTGATTTGCTGCCTCTGAAAACCAGCTGTGAGTCAGTTCCAAATGGAGGGTACGTAATAACAACAGCAGCAGCCACAGCTTAAGGGCTATGTTCTCGGGGTTATTTTCTGAGGTAATAGATCAATGAAGACATGATGTAACACCACAGAGGTCTGCTGATGCTCGTTTTATCATCAGTTATGCATATTTGACTCTAAATGCTTCGCACCTGCTCCTGCTGATGGATGTTTTTCTTTCCAGGAGAGAAACTGCCTATCTCCTGGTTTATATGAAGAAGGAATCCTAATGGATGGACTCTAAACCGTCAGAGACAAACTTTTGTTTTCTTTACTGTCTTTGGATGTGTTGATTTTTCTAGAAATTTTGGAGTGAGGCGAACATAGATTTTAAGCTGTATCATTAAATTTTATTTATAATATGGGGTGATTATAAAAATATTTCACAGTGAAATGGCACAGGTCCTGATGAAGTGGAACAGTTACTCCTACTAGTAGACTGAGGGAGCTCTGGTGGCTTAGTGGTAAGGAGTAGTGCTGCCAATTTAAAGGCAAGCAGTGTGGATCTACCAGTTGTTACCCAGGAGAAAGATGGGCAGTCTTGATGGAGCCTAACAACAGTAGGGAACTCTGGTGGCCTAGCGGTAAGAAGTTGTGCTGCAAGCCCAAAGGCATGTAGTTTGAATCCACTAACTTCTCCTTAGAAGGATGAGCAGTCTCCTCTCATGTGATTAACTGCCTCTGAAAACCTGCTGGGAGGTCAGCTATGAGTAGATATACAACAACAATAACCAGTAGATTGGCCACCTGGCTGTATGAGCTTCCTGGATGCTCCTCTGTGTGCAAAGTATTAACCTTTAGTTGGGAGAGTGTGGGAGTCCAGGAGCTCCCAGGTGAGGAGAGACCAGCAGCAGCAGCAGCAGCAATGGGATGCAATTGGGTGGTAATGGATGTATGTCGAGGGGCAGTACTTCAATAATATGACTGAAGAGTCCATCCTGGTGTGTCCTGGCTGATTATCAACCTTGTTTTTAATTTTTAGAAACTGTATTCATTTTTTAAAACTCAGCTATTATATTCTTGCTATTCATTTCTTCAATACATATTTATTGATCACTCACTCTCCATATGACTAGAAACAATGATGAATAAAGTTATTTCTTGCAAAAGATGGTCTCCACTTAATTGGTGTAATTAAGTAAAACACTGAAGGTTTGTACTATCTAAGTGTAAAGAAAGGGGAAGAATTTTTATTGCAGTGGAGGGTAGGAGGAATTTTGGACTAGAATGGGGATTAGAACGGAGGTCAGTCCATTTATGGAGAAGAGCAAGTACGAAAGGTATGGCCAAAAAGGCAATGTTCCAGGTCTAGAGATCATACGCCTGGCTTCCATTACAGGAAGTCAGTGACGAGGAATATGGATGGTGGGGTCTACAATGTGGAGGGTCTTGGAATGAATTAAGAAATCTGAATCTAATTTGATAGACACTGAAAAGCCATTGAAGGTGTTTGAAGGGAGAACTTTGGGGTAGTATCTTGGGAACCGGCAAAATGAATTAGAGATAGGGATCGTATTGAGAATGGAAACATCATCTATTAACAGAGCCGTTATGGAAGAAAATGAACATGGAGTGTGAAAGAAGTGGGTCCAAGGAAACTCCAAAAACAGCCTGAAAGTGAAGCGGGTAATTAGTTTTCCTGACTTTACAGATGATGAGATTGAGACTTTCAGATGTTTAATGACTTTTTCAAGATTTTGTAATTAGTGGCAGTGCAGAAATTTTCAGTGTACAGTATGGATAATTTCCTTATTACTTTATCTTTAATATGTTAAAAAAGTACCCTGCAAGAATATATCCTTAAAAAGGAAAAGAATATATTGTGATACATTCAAACAATACAGAATTGCATAAAGTCCCCTTACCCTTTTAGCTAATCATCACTAAATAACTCTATTTTTAATAAAAAATTGACTTTTTTATTGTGATTTTAATGAAAGTTTACAGAAAAGTTGGATTTTCATTAATTCATTGTTGCACATTTTCCTCCCTACACCTCCAAGTTCATGTTTGTTTTTTTTAAAGTAAAATTTTAATTTGATACTGTTACTTATAAAGTTCGTATACATTGTTTTTCACACTGGATCTTTCCCATTTCCTTTACCCACCTGTCCCTAACCCATCAAATTGTGTGATCCTGTTACTACCTCCACTTCCACCCCCACCCCACTCCCATCCTCATCCCTCTCCTCCCCCTCTCCTCCCTTGCATCCTCATACTCATTTTACTAGTTACCTATTTCTACAATAATGATCTTATACAGTATTTGTCCTTATAGGAGTGAGTTAGTTCACTTAGCATAATGCTCTCTAGTCCCTCCGGAGTTAGATAGTGCTTTTCAAAATCATTGCTCCTGTGTGCTGCATATTATTCCATCATGTGAATATACCACAATGCCTCAATCCATTCAATTGTGGTTGGACATTTGGACTGTTTCCATGTTTTGCAATGGTGAATAACGCTGCTATGAACATTGCTGTACAAATCTCCCTTTGTGCCTCAGTTCTCATTTTCTCCATGTATATTCAAAACAGGAGAATATATGGGTCATATGGTATTTCTCCCCCTTCTTCACATACTTCACTCATACTCCAGGTTGTTTCTTTCCCCCCTTTTTAAAAAATTAATTCTAATGAAAGTTTACAGAGAATTTGTATTTCCCTTCATTCATTGTTGCACTTTTCTCCCTGCCTACTCCTACACACCCCCCCATTAGCTCTTCTCTTTGAAAAGTAAAAGAAAAATTCTTTCATTGTTATACAATCCCTTCCCTGAAGTCCACTCCACTATGCAGCCTTCATTCTGGACTCCTGCCATGACGATAATACATAATCATATATCCCCTTTTTTTTAAAATTTTCCCCCATATATCCATTTTAAACAGTTCCTTCCCTGTTTCAATGCAGTATACATTATTTATCCCCTCTTCCTCAGTCTCCCCTCAACCCCAGTGTCAGTCCCCTTTTACAACAGTGGCACTATGCAGTATTTGTCATTTTGTGACTGAAATATTTCACTCAGCATAATGACCTCCAGAGTCACCCATTTTGTATAATATTTCATGAGTTCCTTGTTTTTAAATGCAACTTAGAATTCCATTGTGTGACTATACTAGAGTTTCTCTATCCATTTGTTTGTTGATGGGTACTTGGGTTGTTTCCAATTCTGCTATTGTGAACAAACCCACAGTAAACATGGGTGTGGGTCATGTGGAATTTTTATGTTCAGCTTTTTGTAGAAATGTCACACTGCCTTCCAGAGTGGTTGCCCATCAAAAACATTTTCCAACGAAGTGAAAAGGAAACCTGCTGACTTGGAAAAAACATTTGGCAATACTATTTCAGACAAGAGTTTTGTATCAAAAGTTTACAGACTCCTACAGGACCTCCTCAAGAAAAACACTGATAACACAATTACAAAATAGGCAAAAGACATAGAAAGACTTTTCAGAGAGTAAGATATTCAGGTGGCCAACAGATACATGAAGAAATGTTCCAAATCATTGGCAATAAGAGAGATACAAATCAAAATCATAATGAGGTTCCATCTCACCCTAGTAGCAGTGGCAAAGTTTAACTAAACAGCAATAAATAAACATTGGAGAGGATGTGGTGAGATAGGAACTCTTATATGTTGTTGGTGGCATTGTAAAATATTACAACCACTTGGAAAAAAAGTATTCATTGTTGTATCATTTCCTCCCTTCTCCTCCTTCCCTGATCCAGTCTGCTGTGCATCTCTTATTCAGGACTGCTGTCATTCAAATAATGCCTACTCATATATTCCTCTTAAATAATTCTTACCTTCATCTGTTCCAATGCAGTATTCATTATGTATCCTCTCTTAGTTTCCCCCAACCGCCATGTCAGTCCTATTTTATAATAGTGGTGTTATGCAGTATTTGTCTTTTTGTGACTGAGATATTTCACTCAGCATAATGTCCTCCAGGTCACCCATGTTATATAGTATTTTATGAGTTCCTTGTTTTTCAGTGCTATGTAGTATTCCATTGAATGTATTTGTATTCTTTGTCTATTCTGGAAGAAGTTCCTTTTTTCTTTTGAATTTCTACTTCTGGGCAACATTCATGTGGCTTGGCATGTCTTGTTTTATCTCTTTATATCTCAAAAATGAGTGATTTTGCAAGACATGCTTTTCACTAATCGTGCTTCATTATCATAAGAAAAATAACTTGTTCCCAAGTGGAATTATAGCCACAGGCAAAGAGGTTAGGATTTACAACATATATTTGGGGGGGGGGAACACAACCCCTAACATCCTTTATTTGCATAATAAACTGACCAATCCCTAAAAGGTATTAAAATAGACCTGGCTATCTGAGTTATGACTTGAATGATTAGTTTTGGCAGAACTACAAAACTAGGGCCTGAAAGACAATACATAAAGAAAAACCGATTGTTCTGAAAAGAGATTGAGAAAACAGCTAAAATGTTTTGCTCTTTATTAAATCATAGTTCTAAGTGTGATATTCTGTGGGAAAGTATCTGCTCTGGATACTTTTCTATATGGTACCATTTTACTGGTGCACTTTTCTTTGCTGTCTTTTGAAAGATGAATTTGTCATTACTGAAGTAGATTCTTGCCTCTAGATTTTACATGGCCACTCATGACTATAGCTCCATCTCCCCTCAGGGTATGTTAGCTATGTTAGCCATGATTTGTTGTGATCTACTAAGTCAAATGCCTCTGCATAGTCAATAAAACCACAGATAGACATTCCTTTGGTACTCTCTGCTTTCAGCCAAGATGCATCTGACATGATATCTCTAGTGCCATAGCCTCTTCTAAACCCAACCTGTATTTCTGGAAGTTATCTATCAATGTACTGTTCTGGTCATTTTAGGATAATCTTCAACAGAATTTTGCTTGCATGTGATATTAGCGATATTGTTCGATAATTTCTGCACTCTATCAGATCACTTTTTTTGTTGTTGTTGGATTTTTTAAATTAATTTCAATGAACATTTACAGAGATTTTGGATTCCCATTCATTAATTGTTGCACTTTTCTCCCTGCCCACCAGATCACTTTTTTTTAAAAAAATTGGAATAAATATGGAACTCTTCCAATCAGTTGTCCTCCAGAATTCTTGGCACAACCTGGTGAGCACATCCAGGACAGCATCTGTTTGTTGAAATATGTCAATTGGTATTCCATCAATTCCTGAAGCTTTGTGTTTTGCTAATTTCTTCAGAGCAGTTTGTGCTAT